TCAGTTGTACGCTGCGATGTCTAGAGCCACGTCAAGAACCAATATTAGGATCCTTGCCCTCCCGCCTGATGCGGAGGCACAAGAGGAGGAGGCCAAAAAGATAGAGAAGAAAAATGCTAAAAAGAATGCCGAGGGAAAAAAATAAGAATGCTTCAAATAAATAAATATATAAATGATAGGGGAGAATTTGACATAGGGGGAGAGATATAACAAAGGGGATGAATTAAAATTTTGAGCACACAAGTAGGGGGAGCAAGCTCATGAACTTGTATGGTCCATTTGAATGTGCATTTCATATGTTTGCTTGCATGGCACAAGTTGCTCGAGTGGTGTATGCTAGTTGTAGGTTTGAATGATGAAATGAAAAACTAGCATGCATAGGTTATCTAGTGATTTCATTTCCAAGTGGTATCGAGCTAACCATGGTGCTAAGGACGGTATATTGGTGCACTCCGATTGTTATCACGCTTCAAAGGTCCATCTTTTATACCTTAGCAACATTTGATAGACGTTGTCTCCTATATTTCCTATCTAAGCATACGTGCAAGCTACAATCTAAACTCTCAGCACAAATGTAGGGAGAGCAATTGCTACCATTTGGGGTTCATGAAACTTGTTCATATCCTTTTACAAATGGTAAAAATGCTTGGACAAGCAACATGGATTCAATTAAATTTCAATTCATATCTTTGTGTAAGTGTTGTCATCAATTACCAAAAAGGAGGAGATTGAAAGCTCTAGTTTGGTTTTGGTGAATTGATGAAACCCTAAGTGCTAACCTAGTTTATCAAAGTGTTCATGAGATAGGTAGTACATTCCAAGTGGCGAAGCAAATGAAGATCATAACATGATGACGGTGATACCATGGTGATGATCAAGTGCTTGGACTTGAAAAGAAGAAAGAGAAAAACAAAAGGCTCAAGGCAAAGGTATAAGTGGTAGGAACCTTTTTGTTTTAGTGATCGAGACACTTAGTGAGTGTGATCACATTTAGGTTCGATAGACGTACTATTAAGAGGGGTGAAACTCGTATCGAATTGCGGTTATCAAAGTGCCACTAGATGCTCTAACTCATTGCATATGCATTAAAGATCTAGTGAAATGCTAACACCCTTGAAATTATTTGTGAAAATATGCTAACACACATGTGCACAAGGTGATACACTTGGTGGTTGACACATTTGAGCAAGGGTAAGAAACTTCACCGGCGGAGTGTCCGCCCGTAGAGTGCGGACAATCCGACGGTGCCATCGGCGCCCTGTACAGAAAAGACAGGGTCTCACAGAGTGGACCGGACGCTGGTCTCAAATGGACCGGCGCGTCCGGTCAGTGGAAGCAGTGAAGACGCTGGCGTCGGTCTTCGACCGGACGCTGGGTCACTTCGTGACCGGACGCTGGCTGGGTGCATCTGGTCCCGCTGACGTGGCAGCACAGAGGAGACAGTGAGTGACCAAACGCTGGGTAAGTCCGGTCGGGCATGACCGGACGCGTCTGGTCACGCGTGGAACCTTACTGGAAATGACCGGACGCTGGGGTCCTGGTTCCGGTCGTGATCAAACTGATGCGTCCGGTCATCACTTGACCGTTGAGATCAAGCAGCCAGCGTTTGAAGCCGATGACACGTGGCAAGCATCAGGTGACCGGACGCTGGGGTCCTGCGTCCGGTCGATCTAACCGGAGCGTCCGGTCACCCCGTGTTGTGCCCAGTAAAGGGGTACAACGGCTCTATTTCGTGGGGGCTTCTATTTAAGCCCCTTGGCCGGCTCAAGCTCACTCTCTTGGCTATTTGCATTGACACAGCAACCTTGTGAGCTTAGCCAGAGCCCTCCCACTCACCTCCATCATAGATTTATCATCTTTGTGAGATTGGGAGTGAATCCAAGTGCATTGCTTGAGTGTTTGCATCTAGAGACACTTGGTGTTCGTGTTTCGCTGCGGGGTTCGCTTGTTACTCTTGGTGGTTGCCGCCACCTAGACGGCTTGGAGCAGCGAGGATCGTCGCGCGGAGGTTGGTGATTGTCTCCGGCTCCGATCGTGGTGATTGTGAGGGGTTCTTGACCTTTCCCCGGCAGAGAGCCAAAAGGTACTCTAGTGAATTGCTCGTGGCTTGTGTGATCCTCATCTTGTGTTGGTTGAGCGGCACTCTATTGAGGGTTTGGCGTATGATGCCAATTAGCGCGTGAACCTCCAAGTGAGTAAATCGCCACAACGAGGACTAGTTTGCCGGCAAGCAAGTGAACCTCGATAAAAAATCATTGTGTCACCATTTGATTTCGAGGTGATTGGTCTTCATTGATATTGATTCTTGTTATTGGTTGGTACACTCCTCGACTTGGCGGTATAACCATCTTGCTCACTCTCTCTACATTACCGCAAACTAGTTGTCAAGCTCTTTAGTGTAGCTAGTTGTGAGAGCTTATTAGTTTGGTTAGTGTAGCTCTTTAGTTAGCCTTTGAGAGCACACAAACTTTGTGTGGTGACATAGCTATTGTGTGGATAAAAACTATATAAACTAGAATTGTGGTAGGTGGCTTACAATTTTAGTAGGCTAGCGCAACACTTGCTTCGTCTCATAATTGTCTAACCAGTTTGTTAAGTGTTGTTGTAGAAATTTTTAATAGACTATTCACCCCCTCTAGCCATTAGCACCTTTCAGACGGGAATGGAGGTTGGAGTGGTATGCGGATGGGAGTTGGACTGTTGGGCCGTGTCGAACTGTGGCCTAGATGCCTGATGCGCTGCTCTCCTCGCGACGCTAGAGAGAGGTCTGGTGTCTTCAGTTTCAACGGTTCTTCGGTTCAGGTAGAGCACAAAACCGAAATAGAAGCCGAACACCAATATTTCGGTTCGGTTCTCGATGAAAAAGTGCCTACCCTGATCTAAACAGACCTGAGCCCTTATATAAGCTGAAATGGGAACAAATAGCTACAGCTTATCTTTTTGTCTCACATAATAGACACCTAAAATATAGGAAAAGTGATATTTTAAATTGAGAAACGCTATATGTCAACCGGTTGATTTTGTCGCCTCCATCAACCGAATTTGTGGCCGTTGGATCCGCAGCCAGACTATCTCCCTCGTCGGCTCTGCATCGTCGCCATGGCCACCATGGAAGCCGCGGCGGGGTACCAGCGGGAACAAGTTCATGTCCTCGACGACGTTGGGCAAGTGGGTAGGGGCAGGGGAGCGGCCGTTGCCAGAGTAGCCACGTCCCCACTGCCGGTAGTAATGTCATTGCCTGGGCGGCGCTGGTAGCCTCCCTGCTGCTGTTGGTACCCACCGCCGTTGCTGCGCTGGTTGTGGTAGCCGCCGTCGTTGCCCAGGTTGGGGAAGGGAAGGGAAGGGATAAGGTGGGGTGGGTCCTACCACAAGTTGTGAATAATTTGTATTTTTTCTGAAAATTGTGAATAATTTGTGAACAATTTGACGTATATTTCTCTGATGCCTGGAATCCATAAAAATAATTTGGATTTTTTTTGAAAAATTTGGCATATATTTATGTTATTCGCAAATTACATCACACTGTCTAATAAATTACACTGAAGAAATCATTATAAATATAGTAATAAGGCGGTATAAATATAGCTATAAGACCGTGTAAGTGCACGAGAAAAATTCAGTTGAGTGGAGGACACAAAGCAACTGATATCCTTTAAATTTGTTTCAAAGTACGTGTCAGCACCAATCAACAAGCTAATCGCGTATTCATAAGCAGGTACAGGTAGGTGCTGATCAACTGATAGAGCCACATTGCTGCAGTGGAGTCACAATAGACATGAGAGCGGACGGGGACAACGACGGCAAGACCTCGGCGTTCCAGTGCCTGACCGCGGCACGGTACACGGTGGCCGCCGTGGTGACCGTGCTGATCGTCGCCGTCGTCGTCACCTCCCTGAAGGTGGTGCTCCGCCCGGAGTCCCTGCGCCTCTCCGTCGTCGACGGCGCCGTGTACTCCACTCCGCATCCGGCGAGCGAGGCGGTGACCATGCAGCTCAACCTCCGGGCCGACAACCCCAGCGGCCGCGCCCGGATGTACTTCCTCAACGTCACCGCGTACCTCTTCGACAGCGCGACGCCGGCGACCACGCCGAAGCCCGACGAAGACTGCATCATCTTCTTCAACCCGACCGACCGGGCCGTGCGGCAGGAGATGGCGGTGGACCTGATGACGAGCGTGGAGGCGACGAACGACCCTGGCGTCATGAACCAGACCTACTTCGAGCTCCTGTACAACACCAAGGGGTGGCGGCGGCGTCATCGGCGACATGACGCTGCGGGTGGACGGCAGCCTCGTGACGGAGGTCAGCTCCAGGTTCAACATGACCCGCCTGCAGGTCACCTACTACTGCCGGCCGCTCCTCGTCGGCGGGAGCAAGGGCGGCGAGGCCTCCATGGGCAGGAAGGACGTGATCTGCACGGATAACCTGGGTAGTCAATGATCGATTCTCCATGGTTGCGCCGCCCACTTGTAGGAGTAGTTAGTTCATGATTCGTGAGAGAACGAGAGTGTGTTTCTTGTTTCAGAATCAAGCGCGGTAGAGTCTCTGCCTGCTTCAGAAGAGTCCTGTGTGTATATATGTTATTTTTTTTGACGTTAATCTGTGTGTATGTTCTTGTTGTTATTATTATGTTATCTATCTACCTGGCACCTGTGTATTTTAACTTCTGGCCTGTGCCAGGCGAATTCTATAAGAACTAACGTATGCAACTTCATTTTGTTATACAGAGTATATTCTGGTTTTTTATTTTATCAGAAATACTGTACGTAGGACGTCCGTCCCGTCTGGACGCTCTTTCATGGGGGCCCACAACCGCTATGGAACACGGGCCCGTAGTCGACGTCAACGTCGGCTCAGCAAGTAGCATTTCCGCGGTACTACGAACGAAACTATTTTTTTCTTTGTCACCAAGATTATTCAGTTTTCTTTTCTGTCTAATTATTAAGTAAGCGCGCGATCGATCGATCCATCTCCCTTTTCCTGCAGTCTAGGATTGATCCGATGGCCACCGGCGGTGGCGGCGGCAGGAGGAGGCGGAGCATGCCGGGGACGGTGCAGACGATGATGGTGGACACCGCCAGCGACGTGCCGTGGGTGCAATGCCACCCGCCGCCGACGGGCGGCAGCAGATTCTTCGACCCAACCAGGTCGCCCACCTACGCCCCCTTCCCGTGCGGCTCGCCGGCGTGCACGCGTCTCGGCCCCTACGGCAACGGCTGCATCAACGGACAGTGCCAGTACCGCGTCACCTACCCCGACGGGTCGTCGACGCTGGGCACGTACAGCTCCGACCTGCTCACCATCACCCGCACCACCGCCGTCCGCGGCTTCCAGTTCGGCTGCAGCCAGGCCGAACAAGGCCTGAGCCAGGCCAGCAGCAGCTCATCCGGGACCATGTCGCTCGGCGGCGGCCCGGAGTCGCTGGTGTCCCAGACGGCGGCCACCCACGGCAACGCCTTCTCGTACTGCGTCCCGCCGACGCCCAGCGACGCCGGGTTCTTCGTCCTCGGCAAGCCGCCGTCTTCCAGGACGAGGACGTTCGTGGCGACGCCGATGCTGAGGTTCACCCAGGCGCCCACGCTGTACCGGGTCCTCCTCCGCGGCATCACCGCCGCGGGGCAGCGGCTCAACGTGCCGGCGACAGTCTTCGCCGCCGGCTCCGTGATGGACTCCCGCACGGCCATCACGCGCCTGCCGCCGACGGCTTACCAGGCGCTGCGCGCCGCGTTCCGGAGCAGGACACCTGCTACGACTTCACCGGCGTCATGGTCGTCAGGGTGCCGAGGGTCGCGCTGGTGTTCGACCGGAACGCCGCCGTGGAGCTGGACCCCTCGGGGATCCTGCTCGACGACTGCCTCGCCTTCGCGCCCAACGGCGACGACCGCGCTCCGGGGATCATCGGCAACGTGCAGCAGCAGACCATCGAGGTGCTCTACGACGTCGGCGGCCGGTCCGTGGGCTTCCGCCGCGGCGCGTGCTGATCGAGCTCAGCTACGTGCTGCAGTGCGGGCAGGCTGCGCGCGGCCTACGTGTACCATGCATGGCCCCCTAGCTAGTAGTAGGACTCGTTGTTTGTATTTTGTGTTGAATAAACTCTACTAGGCATGTTAGTTTGTTCACTTGAGTTAGCAAGTTAGTACAAGTTATTAGAAGTGTCTAGGTAGTACGTGGTGTGCAAGTGCAGTTCAGTTAGTGGACGTTTGGTATGGCTGGCACGACTCTCGCGTCACCCGTGTCGATTCATGTATGAAATTGCTACTCTAATTTGTTCGTGTAGATCTACGTACTCTTTCCTACTAGTTCTTTGTGGTTTTTCTTCTGTTTGGGAATTAATAACTCATCAAATCATATACGGCAACTATGACATACTAGCAACATGTCCATGTCACTTAAACACTTACAAACACATCTAACACGTACCACGTCCATTTCGCATACCAACATGTTCAATAAAAAGCAACAACTGGCTAGTAGTGATGTCCACTGGCAAAAACATCACATTCACCAAGCATCTAAAACTAACAAATTAGCTAGGCTCCCTACCGCGTTCCTCCTCTTCCAGTAGCGGTTGCACTTCATGATGAATGAAAAGAGTAAAAATATGTTGGTAAAATTACCAATGATTAAATAAGCAAATACAATAGTTGCACTTGATATGGCAGCAGCTTCGCACCCAACCTGTGTTCTTCTAGCAAATGCCCCAAGTGGAACGTGTGTGGCTGCAGGCTTACCTTTCAATTTTTTGGGTACGGTCCATTCCAACTAACGTGCTGTTGCGGGCCGTGAAGACATGCGCCTGGGTTGCTATCACGTACGTGGGCTTCTAGGGATATATCAGCATGGCTGCATCTGCCCATATCAGTGAAAATCCCGAGTGCTTCCTGTGTGGTGCTGAAGACTCCTAAAAACACTTCTTTGCACCATGTCAAAATGTGTCTGGGCATTGGTTGACGTGTTCAGCAGCCTGATGCAAGAAGCTGGATCTTTTCGTTTCGTTGATAGCGACACTGAAGCACGACGATCAGATCCTGGTTCTGGTGGTATCCGACTGCTTGCCCGTGATTAGAAATATGAATGTAGAATTCCGATGTGCTTATATATGGCTGGATAATTCGGGAGATCAAGTCATAGGAGGCTCTTTTTTGAAGAGATAAGAATCACCCATGAGAATCGCCGACACAATGCACACGTCGAAATTTTAGCAAGAAGTAGTATTTATGATGAGGGTGGTAGGCATGTGTGGTTTATTAGACCGCCTAAAGACGTTTGTATTCCAAAAACAATTGCTTTGTAGTTAAATATGAAGCTCTAAAAAACAACAAGATAATTATTGTTCCGTATAAAAAAAGCTAGATAAGTATGGTTGTACTAGTTGGTTTTACTTTTTATCCTCAAAAAGAGTTGATTTTACTTTTTCTTTTAGAAAAATGTGATAACTTTCTTCTAAAGCGTCATTTTCAATTCTATTTTCACCACTATATATGTCCCTTATGATAAGACTACAAAACAAGGCCATGATACAAATGTTTCTTAATAGTTTTTATGCAGTGGGAATTTATGTTGTGTCGGTAGTACCTAGTTGTGTATTAACTATGAAGTAGCTGTGCTAAATAAGTAACACTAGTACAGAAAGATTAACCGAGGTGAGCCAAATGGATTAACAGAGGCGGGCATTGCAACCTCCTACAATCAAAGGTCACCGTTAATGGTGAACTATGGAGGCATTTACTTTGCCTGCCTTCATAAATCAAAAACGAAAAAACAAAAAAAAGAAAATCCATGGACAGGGCCACCAAGCCCATCCATGGGTCGCCGCTTGAATCTTCACGCCGCCGCCATCGCTAGATCCGATCGCGCCCGCCGACGCCGAGGGCCGCACCACCAAGAGGGAGAGAGAGAGAGAGGTGGACGTTGACGAGATCCTAACATATACGGCCGGGACTGCCGGTTCCACCCAAGGAGTGTCCATGCAGCTCAACTTCTGAGCTAGCTTCCTGTAGCTTCGCTTCATCTTCTGCATAAATAGACGTTAAAGTTAGTGCATTTCCCAAACGCATATACACTAAAGAAACATTTTCGAAACGAACAAGTTTATGTTTACCTCCACAAAAGCCTCAAGAACGCCTGGCCCCTGCCCTCTAGACTTGTGAAGCCGAAACGCTGCTTCGTTGGACATCCTTGACAATTGTGTCGCCTGGGTACCGAAACGCGGTTGGACAGTTTTAGTACACATACTCAATACCAAATGGATAACAAATTGTACCATTCGAGTATCTTACCATGTATCTTTGAAGCGGGGTTCTCTGTAGTTGTGTGTCGTCCCTAGTGGCAACGTCGTACACATCTTCGATCACATCTTCCTCGTCGTCCTCGTCAATCGCCTCCTTAGTGTACGGGGGCTTGATATGTGTCCTCATAAACCTATGAAGCCACCACAGGTACTCGTCGAAGGTGTGCTGGTCGTGTGGGGGACCCGCATCGACCAGCTGTCGGTCCCTGTTCTGCCACATATGGATGTACGCGTTATGTGTCACGCGCCAATACTTGGTCTTGTACCTCTTCCTGCGGTCATACCTACAACAAAACGATTGTTAGTTGTACCATACACACCTCTGAATTGTAGCTTTGTTATTAATCGATAACGCACCCGTGCAATTCTTGGTTGGTGGAGTAAAGCGATGGTGGGTAGCCTGTCATTCTTCCAAACTGCCTACAAACCCTGATGGGCAAGTGAATCTCGACCACGTGGAAGAAAATAAGAGGGACGTTGCAGCGATACTCGTCTGACTCATCCCTAGTGACAGGACTCAGATAGTACTCAAGCTCCGGAGCATCCCAAGGACACCAATGCACCTGAACATTTCGTAATTGAGTTAGGTTGTGATATAGTGTACATCGAACAAGACACATGTATGATAGTAAAGAGCGCGTAACCTGGTGCTGTGTCAGGATGTCGAGACCGTCCGTGTACTCCCTGTACTTGCACCTCGCATTCCCTCTAACTAACTCTGCTTGCATCCAGATATACAGAGTTGTAGGGAGTGTATCCTGCCCGTTCCAATGCTGCATTGAACACGATAATGAATTAGCCATTAATAATTTAATCATATGTAACTGCCTCAAAGAATATAGTGAACCAAAGTACTTAGTGGTAAACCAGTAGCAAGGGGCCTCCCAATGGGCCATCGTTCCCAACACCAAACCTGGAGTAGGTAGGAGCAACCCCCAAGGTTCGCATACCCTAAGGTGCGACGGCAGGCAATGCATAGCTATCGATACGTCCATGCCAGGACTACGCTGCCCCAGCTGTACGCCGCTATGTTATCCCACGGCTGGCGTAGTATGCCATGGAAGATCTAGGTGATGGTGTTGCCCGAGGCGTCTGGGAAGAGAAAAGCACCAAGGAAGTGCCAGAGCCACACTCTAGCGAATTTGTCGATCTGAGCCTCATCAGCCTGTGGGTCCAAGTAATCAAAGCGCTCTGTGATCCACGATGACGAAACACCAGAACTTTTCCTGAAATTCACAAAAAAAATGAGACCCGATGGCTGTAGGAAAGCAATGCAAGTATTAAATAGGCTTGAATTGCTCACTTATTTTTCTTATAAACCTCGTCGTCCGGTGGAAGAAAGCCAGTGAACTGAGCCACCAACTCCCTCTAGTGATCGTTGTCAACTATACCTATCACTGGAAGTCCCCCCAACCAAAGGCCAAAGATAGCCTTCACGTCCTGCATGGTTAAGGTCATCTCGCTACAAGGTAGGGGGAACGTGTGGGTCTCAGGCCTCCACCTGTTATAAGAATAGAACGACTGTTAGTTACTCAAATTTGTTATAAGAATGTTTACGTACAATGAAGTAACTCGCACCTGTCTATAGCTGCACTAAGTAGTACTGGGTCAAGGGACGGAAGACCGTAGTTGACAACACGGACAAGCTCGAGGAAGCCGGCACACCGTATGTACCGCGCATAACGCTCGTCCCACTGGTGCGCCCTGGTGTGCGTGTGGGGCCTCAAAGGAGGCAAGGGCACCTCTGCGTCAGTGTCACTCAAGAAGTGTGCTTGGTGCGGCTCGTCGTACTCCACCTCAAGAAGGGGGTACAACAGGTGCTGCGTGAGAGGGGCCATCCTGTTACAAATTGATAAACAAAGGGTTAGAGTATTCAAATTAACATCATGTAGCATTGCAAAATTTAAACTACTTATTATGCAATAGGAACACAATATGAAAGCACATGTATATATTCAAAGTAACATTAACAGACATATTAAACAACTTCACTAGAAAAAATAAGCAACTTCTATGTATTCAAACGGAAACAAACATCATTGAAGCTAGGAGGTTCATCAAACGATTCCAAATCGCCGTATCACGCACTACTAAGTACCGACATTTAAAAACTAGTATCTATACTGACAACCTTTACTACTATAAACTAACTAAATAATAAATACCTAATCAATCCCTAAACCCAAAGACCTAACTAACAGTGACCTAAACCCTAACTACCTAACCAAACCTTAACTATACTACAACACACAACCTAAACCCTAAAAACTACCTACCTAAATAAACAAATTCACTAACCTAACTATACTAAATCACTAACCCTAACTAAAATAACATTCATAATAACAAGAAATCAAGAGAGGGAGCTACCTTGATATGAACCGAAGGAGAGGAGGAGGCGCTACGAGGCGAGGCGGCGGCGGTTGGCACAGGCGAGGAGGCAGCGCTGGCAGGCGGCGCCTGGCGCAGGCGAGGCGATAGCGCTAGCAGGCGGCGGCGGCGCTGCCACTTGATGGTGGCAGCGCCTGGTGCAGGCGACGCGGTGGCGCTGGGCGGGCAGGGGTGTAGGCGGCGGCGGCGTTCGAGGGCGAGGGCAGGCACAGTGGAGGCATCGCGGGCATTAATTGGGCCTTGTCGTGCCACCAGTGATTGCGCATTACAGCCGCGCCAAGATGGGTGGCGCGACAGACC